GGGGGGGGGGGGGGGGGGTCTTACCGGTGGCGCACAGGGCAATGAAGGTCTGCGCGTGCTTGCGGATCAGAGACAGCTTCTCCCGCTGCTGGGGCAGCTTGCGCAGGATGTGCTCGATGAAGTCATGGGGGGTGACGGCCGCCAGGTTCCACTTCAACTTTCCCAGCACCACCAGCTCCCACTCCTGGAGGGGACAGCAAGAGGGGCGGAGGATAAAGCCCGAGGCTGGCCTGGTGTCGGGGGCTGGAGCCCTGGAGGATAAAGCCGCGAGCCCGGCCCGCCCTAAGGAAGCTCGTCCGGACACGGCTGCCGGGTCCGAGGCAGGGCCCGGCGTCCGCGTGTCCCAGAAACGTCGAAGGTGCCGATGGCTCTGCTCGTGCTTCCAACGTCAGGCTCCACGGAAAATAACGAGAGCCCGGGTGGCCGTTGCCAAGACTCTGCTTTCCTCGGCTTCTTTTCCCCTCCAGCTGCCCGGCCCCCACCCAATGCTGGCTTCCAGGCAATACTGCTGCCCGCCCACCCAGAAAGCTGAACGTTCGAACCTACGCTGAGACGCGGCCAAGGTCATTGTGGCCTCTGGGCTGTAACGTATCATTTATGTCGCTATCGCTGGATTAATAGTCTTTCTAATCCTCATGGAAAAATGATGCCTGCAGATAGAGCTCAAACTAAGGTTCCTTGGCCTCACTTCTTGGCAACCTATCAGACTGCGTTTCCTTGGTGCCAGAAAGTGGCATTTTTCTCCTTGCTGCTAAAACGTTCCCCTTTGACACATCACGCAGACATCTTGGGGATGTGACACTCAGCCCTTTGGCCTAAATGTTTCCCGGGCCCCTGTCATCGTGACTCAAGGACTGCATGGCCACTCGCAGCCTACTTCACAGATGGAGGTGATTTGGGCCAAGGCAAAAGCGCTTGGTCAGAGTCACAGAACCCTTCAGTCCAAGGGCCAGGACAACACAACCGTCTCTCCTGGGCCTCTGGCCAGCAGACCACCTGGCAGAGAACCTTGCTTCTCTCTTTTACTGAGATACTTACGGGAGCTTGTGCTCCGAGGGAAACGGTTCAACAATAAGACCTTAAAAATACGGTATGTGACTTCGGAGAGAAGATACGCCCATCAAGTAGTTGTCTTCGGAAGAATGTGAGACAGGGACCAGCATGCACCCCACGCTCCTGTTCACCCCAAGACCCCAGAATTCCTTCCACTTGCTGAGCCAAGGGCCAGAGGCTGGAGCAACCCGTGCTCTGTCCAGGCCTCACGTGGCAGCACTAGCTAGCTGTGTGGTCTGGGGCGATTCCCTTTCCCTTCACAGGCCTCAGCTTCCTCATCTGTAAACTAGGAGGACTCTTCCAGATCCCAGCTTCTAGGATAAAGAGACAGGGAGTGGGAAAAAGCCAGGATTATTTGGAGCGATATAAATCAGCTTGGCTAGTCCTTGAAAAATGGGGGCGTCCTGAAGAAACACCTCAGCTCGCCCTCATGTTGAAACACGTGAACCCAACGAAGATGACTTTTTCCTGCTCTCCCCCGAGAAAGGCAATTCTAACATGTTGTTTTTTTTTTTTTCTTTGCAAGCTTTAAAATCTGCCTTGGCTTTGGATGGAGACTTGGGAGAAAGAGAGAAAGAGGAAAAAAAAAAGTGCTGATAGACAACGGAAGCACCAGCATCTCCAAAGGTGGCTTGAAATCGCGGCCCTTCCTTCTCGCGGGGGAATGTGAGTATGAACCGCTGGTCTCGCACCATTATTAAAGGCAGCAGAACTGCCCGAAGAAAGCACCTTTCTGGGCCTCTCGGACCAGACCAGAGGCAGCTGAAATCTGGCAGCGGTTCAAAGGTGAAGTCATCCGGGCTGCATTCTCGGCGATTCCGCCCCCAGCCCTGCGCGTGTCTGCCGCTAGATGGCGGCACCGCCCCAGAAAGGAGGGCGCCTCACAAAGAGCTCGGTGGAAGCAGCCAGGCTCAGCCCTGCCCGGGGACTC